GATCCTGCCATGTACACGACCCAAATAACCTTGGTTCTTATACAACCTAACTTAAGGTTAACTTAAGGCTAGACTTGGATCAGGTTGGGCAGGACCCAAAATCTAAACTTGGATCAGGTTGGGCAGGACCCAAAATAACCTTAGATCTTAGCCGCAGCAGGACCCAAATATGCTTGGGACCAAGCTTAATGATACCTAAATAGGCTTGGGTCCTACTTCTAATTTTTTTTAAAAAGTTAAAGGTGTCTGTGGCGTAACACGAGCCACCTAACTAGTTGTTATTAAAACACAAGTCTTAATATAATACCAAAAACTCGTTCATACATGAAGGAATATCATTAACTTATTACAAATAATTCAACATAATCCAATCGCAAATATAATCAAGTGCAAAATCATATACACATCATAAATTAAACAAAATAAAATAAATAACAATATACAAGCAAATACATATTCCAAAATAAAAAATCAACACATGTTATAAATTATCCTAAAATAAATATATTATATATTGAAGTTCAAAATCAATCTTTGTAGGCTGGAATTGGTTGGAATTGGATTGGAATAAAAGAGAATAATAACAACGAGTGAGATGCACGCGTGGACAAGTGAGCTGGACTGTGAGGGTGTCGTTGCACGTAAATCTCTCTCCATCTTATTATTTTCTTTCCTAAATACCACTTTCAAAGTAAAGCACAACTCTACCAATGTAATCGTTAAAGCATAATAGTATCAATCAGGTTTAAGCTTATGTTTCTTCTTATCTTAGTTAACTTACATCTTATTTATGTTCTTATCTTATTTATTTATGTTTCTTTTTTCATTATGTTTAGCTATATTTATTATGTCAAGGTGAAAAGAATCCACTAATGGTATTAGGATAAGTAATATAAACTTAATATGGACTTCAATGCTTATATCCTAAACAACTTGCTATTAACATGTCATATCATTTTTATCTTATTAATTCTTAATACATTGTTAGTTAAATTGTTAGTCTAGATTTGTGTTATATAACACTCGGTTGTTAGTCTAGATCTGTGTTATATAACACTCGGTACAACAAATACTTGACACTTTCATAGCCAATTGTATGGTATAACCTATACCTGTACTATGAAAGGAACTTGATTTGTTCTTAATATAAGTTAACATCATGAATTCCTGATAATATTTAAAAGTTTGGTGTTACTTATATAAGATAATTAATATGATCATATTAATAATTTATAATGAGCTATTAATGACAAATCATCCGATTAGAACCTCCTTTGTGTGTGGTTTCCAGTTGAGTAACAAAAGGAATTTATATGATATTTATTTTTAATACCATTAGTGGATTCTCTAACCTTGCTATTTGTTTTTATTATTTTTTAATCCTCATATTAATTTTACATATCAAAGTTCTCTTTAACTTATTAATCTTACAAGAGATTAATGAAAGCAAAACTTAAGCATTACAAAAATAGAAAGAAAGAGAGTAAGAATATGATCTTGATTTAAAAACTAGGATGTCTAAATGCAGGACAATGCCTCCTTTTATATGCTAAAATTTAAAACTATTGATTTGATAACTAATTATTATGTGGGTAGCCACCAGCCACATCTTGATTTGATGACAATTTTTATCTTCTTATCTGAACAAAACGTTATTTCTAACATCAGAATTTGAGTAAATTACCCGCATGAAAGTTCTAGGAAATTATCTCAACTTTCCAATAAAAAAAATGAGGTCATTTGGACTTCTAGAACTCGAGATATGGGCTGAACACTGAATAGTGTCTAAGTTGTAAAATAAATTTTAACTTCTTTACTACCTTTTGAACTCAAAAATAGTACTTTTAAATCTTGGACTCTTCATAAATGTTTTAAACTTATATCTTAACTTTTCATGCATGTAAACCAAACCTAAATCCAAGTTCTATAGCTCCAGTCATGATCTAATAATCAAATAGTATTCTAGTTTGTATTGAACCAACATCTCTTTTATGAGCTTAGCCCCCTCTTTATCTTCTCAATTTCAGTTGTTAAACTAATCAATTAATCTTTTGATTTATGTGATAGGTGTGCATTTAAAATAAATATTTACTATAAATTAAATGTATCTTATATCATCAAACTTATTATTATAAAACATGCTCTAGTTAAGCAGTTATTGATACTTCATGTGCAAAACGATGATATAAAACCTTGATAAAAATACACTTTTAAGTACTAATCACTTAGGCACTCAAAGAAATGGTCCAGTGGTAGCCTTGGGCCTGGCAAGGTAGGACTTAAAATAGAATTGGGTCTTGGCCTCTAGCAGACCAAGCGCCACTTGACACTTGGACAGCACCACCCCAAGCCCACAACACAGCGCCACCTGACACTTAATATGCTTCCTCTTGAGTGCAGTTTCAACGTCATGTGGCTTTTGGACTACCTATATTTTTAGTGTAATTACAAATATTAGTATTAAAAATATTATTATTATTTTTCTTAATATTCCTTTTTTACTATAATTAATTTTTAGAGTATTAATAAATATAATTGTTTGTTTTGTTGATGTTATTTTTTTAGTGTAATTAATATAAAAAGAATTATTATATTTTTTCTTAATATTTTTTTTTTCATATAACTAATAGTATTGGTGTTGAAAATATTATTATTTTTTTAGTCTAATTAATAGTGTTGATCTCAAAAAATTATTATTTGTTCTCTTAATATTATTTTTTTGGTATAATTAATATTATATTTTTTTGTAATATTTTTTTTAGTATAATTAATAGTATTAATATAAAAAATATTATTATTTTTGGAGTTATAAATAATATTATTTTTATAATAATTAATAATATTAATACTAAAAATATTATGATTTGTATTATAAATATTATTACCTTCAGTAAAATTTATAAGACTATATTTTATTGTAATTAGTATTATTAAAAAAATAATTGATGAATTTGAAAGAAAATGTTATATCATTTACTAATTTTACCAAATATATTGTAATAATAATTTTATTAGATTACACTTAATTTTACATTTATTTTTATTTACAAATTACATATAAATTATTAGTTGTAGGATCCAAAAATAAACTTGGATCCTGATATATACACGACCCAAATAACTTGGGGTCTTGTATAATCTAATTCAAGGCTAAACTTGGGTCAGTTTAGATGGGATCCAAAATACCATTGGATCCTAACCACAGCAGGACCCAAATATACTTGGAACCTAACCTGAGAGAACCAAAATAGACTTAGGTCTTGCTTCTATGTTTTTTTAAAAGTTATAGATGAACCTGTGGCATAGTGTAAGCCACCTAACTAATTGTTATAAAAACATAAGTCTTTATATAATATTAAAAACTCGTTCATACACGAAGGAATATCATTAACTTATTACCAATAATTCAATATAACTCAATCAATACAAGTAAATATAATCTAGTGTAAAATCATATACACATTATAAATTAATCAAAATAAAATAAATAATAACATACAAGCAAATACATATTCATAAATGAAAAATCAACATATATGTTATAAATTATTCTAAAATAAATAAATTATATATTGGAGTTCAAAATCAATCTTGGTAGGCTGGAGTTGGTTGGAATTGGACTAGAACTCATAGAATAAAGGAGAATAATAGCAACGAGTGAGACGCACGCGTGGACAGGTGAGCTAAACTGTGGAGGTGTCAAAATATGTCCTTTTTTTTCTTTTCTAAAGCATAAAAGTACCAATAAGGTATTAGCTTATGTTTTTTCTTGTCTTCTTGAAATTTCAATGATATTTATTTCATTGATTTGAATTATTTTTTTCATCAATCCTCTATTTTGTAATAGTTAATGAGTTGTATAAGTTATTGTATTTAGTATTTAGTATGTATTTGATTTCATGTTACAATTTAAAAATATAAATTAAAAAAAAAACCTATGAATTATACATTTTCTTACCCAAGGTTTTAAAAGAGGAATTTCAGTAGAATTTATGTAGAACTGTGATGTGGGTTAATTAATCTAACATTTTTAAGAACAAAACACACAGGGATGATTTAGTAGAGGTATAGCGTGTCTTATATCTATTTTTATTTATTTTTTGTCCATCGACCAGTTTGACTACTTTTAATATAATTTCAGAATCAATTATTTTTCCATACTTCTGGGAAATTAGCTTTAGATACAAGTTTTTATAAATTTTGTTTTTCGGGAGCAATCGGATATGATTTCATTAAGCACTGAGAAAAGAAATTACGTTGTTTATGATGGAGGATTGAACAGTTTCTGGAACCTCTTCCATGAATTCAGGCTCAACATCTGAAGGTCTAGTCAAGTTGGGCATACAATGAGCAGCGACATTGCTATTTCTTCAGACATGCACACGAGAGAAGCTATGAAACTGATCGGTAACATCCTCTGTAATGACATACAGGTAGCTGTCATCTACCACTCTGGTTCCACGGATTGCGGCATGCAATCTGTCTTCAAGAATAACATCATGAAAGACTAGGATCGACTGCAGCTGTCCTACCAGACTGTGACTTCTATGATGATCCCCAAAACCCCAGCCCGTTGCTATGAATCCATATTTTAAGTATGTTTTATGTTTTGCAAAGAAAGTAGGATCTAATCTAGAAAAAACTTCAAACCATGCAACACAAACGTTTTCTGACCAGAGTTTCTCATGTTTTTTCCTTCTCTTGTCACTTTTCCTGCGCAACATATCTTCCGCTTTACAATATTATAAGTTTATTTCCCCTTAAAACTGGGCATGCCTTTGCTCAATTTTATAAATTGCTGCACTGCTAGTAGATCCGCGCCCCAAACCCAAGCCAGAGGATCTGATGGTATCATGACATCCTGATAGTCAGATGATATACACCCCCTCCTCCCCACATCCCAGAAAATAAAAAAAATATAATCGAACCAACAGCTGTCTCTGTGAGCATGACAAAGTAAGGTTAGTTGATCGGATGTGAATGGAGAATGAGAGAGAGAGTGGGAGAACATGATACTGAAACAACAAGGACTGCTGCGACCGTCTCCATTACAAAGCAAATCTAAGACAAAGTGAAAGACGCAGAAGGGTAAGCACATGAGAGATGCACAAACAAGGATGTGCAATTTTAGTTTCTAAGCCACAATCCAAAGTACAATTAATACGATTAAAGATTTGGGAAAAGAAACAAGGCAATCGAGAAAATGTAAGATGGGGGTCCTACTGTTTTTACCCATCTCTAGAAGAATTTTCCTTGTGCTTTGCATGCCTGTCCTTAGCCTTGTTAGTCTTGGCACTTCTGTTATTCTGGTTGCTAACAGACCCTTCTTGAGCACTACACATCTGAGACTTCATCTTAAATCCAAGTTTTTTAGACACATTTCCCCAAGTGCTAGAACCCTTGGTGCCACTCAATTTCTCAATCTCATGTCTCATGCTTGAACACTCCTTCTCAAGCTCAGAAACCCGCATTCTCATGTTAACCATTCCCACCTTCAAAACTTGATTCTCTCTGACAGCTGTTGCCCAGCCACTCTCAGTAGACCCAGCAAGGCCACTTCTCAACTGTCTTGATCCATCAAGATTATCAGAAACCAGAAAGCAGCCAGCAATGGAAGTCCTTAATTGAAGCTGCTCAAAGAAGAGAACTTGGACTATTATTCTTAGGGGAAGCCTCTCATTCTGGGCAGCATGAGTACAAGCTTCCAAGGAGAGCTTCTGGCAATCAATCAACCTGCAGAGCTGTTCTCTGTCAGACTCTGCCAACCATGGGTGTGACTGCAAGTTTGACCAAAAAACAAAAATCAATGAGCTCAAATGGGCAAGTAAATATTTTTAATCGTTTTTCTTGTTCTTTAATTAAGATTTGTCCCCAATAATTTCTTCCTTCATCATTTGTTTTTCATTATCTTGAAATCTCAAAACCCATTTACCAAAATTCCCTCTTAACTTGAATATTGCAATCAAATGTTTAAGTTGTTAAGTAGTGTTTAGAATTTTATGATATAAATCCCCATTTAAATTATGAAAGAGTAGCAAAATTTTCAATCAAAAACCCTGAAAACGAGAAGTTTTAAGATATTTCTATTGTTACATGAAGTAAAGGAAAAGAGAATAAAGGAAATATTTAAAAGGAAACGAAAGGCTAGAACTGTTAAGAAAAAAGGGCTGAAGGTTGTTGTTAGCATTCCAGAGAATCTATTGTGTCTAATGCGCATGAAAATTTGGAGTGGAGAGTTAAAGAGAGCCACCTAAGGAAAGTAGGAAGTTATTGTCTGCTAGAGTGAAAAGATGCTGACTTTAATTAATACCTTTACAAGTGAAAAAAAAGAAAAAGATGGTGGTAGGATGTTTGAGTTGGAATAGAATATAACAAAAAAAAAAAAGGAAAAGAAAAAGATAAAATGACATGGCTATAACACAACAAGCTCTAGAAAAAAAACGCAAAGGGAATAACAGATTCTACTTGGTCTTTGTTTAGTCACTTCCTGGCTTAACATGCGAGACGTACAATTTAATTTTGTTTTATGTTAAAATGAAACAATAGAAAGTTGCAAGAAGTGATATAAGCTACCCATTTTCCAGATTTGTGCGCTACTGAGGTGTTTAGTACCTTCAGATAAATGTCTATTGCACGGTAAAGACCATCATCTAAGGGCCTCGCATACTCAGGAACAGCAGCAGCAAGAGCTTGAAAATTGGGGAGCTTCAAATTAACATCAGGGGCAACCTCTACAAGGTACCCATCAATCAGCTTGGCTACCGTTGTGATTGGTGTCAATGATGGTGATCCAATCAACTGCCTGTCATCAACTGAACATGGAGAAGATCCACCTGTAATTTGGTCCATGGCAAGGAAGTGCTCAAGAATCCGCTGCACACAGTCAACATTGTAAAGTGTCTCCGTGGAATAAGAGAAATTGGGCATCAAAAGATCTTCAAGTGTTGCTTGCTCAAGCTGCATCCCGATTCTCTTTTCCAAGTTTGCCAAACAAGAGGGGTTTGATTTTAGAATCAATGCTGTCCGGAGAAGACCAAACAAAAACTTGGTTGGAACTAGACCCTTTTGCACTGGAAGTAAATGATCAATCTCTTCCAGTAAAACCTTCTGCTCTTGTGGCGGAGCCCCTGCCCCTGAAGTCACAGGCATCAAACGGGAGGTAGATTCATTGGCACCTTGATGCCGATTCAGCCCAGGTAGGTACTTTTTAGCATAGAGGGCAATGGATCCAGCAAGAATCTCCAGTCTGATTCCGTGAGATTCCATGGTGGAAATCAACCTCTTATACAGTGGTAAACTTAAAGTCGATACATCCTCATACCACCAATCTGAACTTGAATGTTTTGGTCTAGCTCCTGTGCTTATCCCATTCCACATGACACTTCCGCCAGGGCTCTGCATGGGTCCATGCTCCATCATTGGCCACCCAAAGAGATTTGGATCAGTACAAGCCTTTGTGGTTAGCGACTCAATGCACCTCTTGGTAACATGATGTTCTTCAGCACGGGGAATATCATCACATGTTTGCAGTGCCTTTAGAGAGTCTTTCCAATTACGAAGGACAACTTGATTTAAAAATGTCTCAGTCTGTGTGATTAGATTTCCCTCCCCGTATTCCTCAGTCATTTCAAGATGCTCGGCAGCACAACGAAGATACACAACATTTGAGGCTGTAAGTTCAAGTTTCACCCCATAGCAGAACTTGGCCACGAGCTCAAATGTTTTAGCACCGCCAGGAATTTTAGGGAGACATATGACACATTTTTTATCTCCTTCTGACACTTCTGCAATCAACCTTTCCATAACTCCACTTCTAGAGAGCAAAGGAAACTGCATTAAGTAGTAATATCAAGGTGTAAGAATTGATAAATGGTGAAGAGCTTTTTAAAATAAACACTACTAACAAAAGCTGGATTTGGTAAGAGTGACTAAACTATAGAGAAGGACAATACTCTAATTTCAATTGACATGGAAAGCAGAATATAGGTTTATGTAGAATTGGTGCTAGTCATTTTTTCCCCATAAATTGTCCATCATATGTAGTTTTTTTTTTTAATAAAAAAAACAATATGCTATTTTCTAACAGGTAAAGCAACTTATACATGATCAATTAAATTTCATTCAGAATATCCAAGTAGAGCTTGTATAAACTAGAGAAGGTAAATAGTAGAACACTACCTTGTGAAGATGGAAGGACATCTCCTCAACTTCAACAACAACATCACTGGGAAGCCCGGTTGTGCAGAACCTATATTCATTCCATACCAGACTAAAGGTTAATGAGGGATATCAGTACGTCAATGGTTAGTGAAAAAGAACAAGGATATGGTCTCTTTTTACAAAAAACAGGAGTCTCTCCTCATAAATGAAATGATACCATAACACAGATTTAAATGTATGTTTTGGGTTCCTCTGCTTCTTTTCACATTCATGGCGACATGCAATATATTACAAAACAATCCTATGTGATCAGTGCTTTATAATGTCATGCTAAGAGAGCAGACATTGTCAACAAAGGCAGAGCCATACACCACAGCCCCATAATCACTAGAGCCAGAATGATACAACTCGGTGGTTTTGGCTGATTTACTTTGGCAGGTATAGCATTCATTTTTAAGCTGCCTGAAGAAGATCTCAAACATTTGTTCATCTTCCATATAGCAAATAAATGCAGTTCATTGTGACAACTGACAATTTCATAAGCACAAGCAAAATGATGTAAGGTTATTCTTGTAATTACCATCCCTAATGATCCTGTACAATTAAGATTACCGTTAGAAACATTTCTTCCAACATTTAAATTCCAACATGTTTTAGCAGGAGGCATTGGTACACAATGCCTTGTAATTCCGTTAATAATAATAGATACCTAAAGGAGCAAGCATTCCATGTACAGGAGTGGAATCCATCATTACCATGATATGCCTACAATTTCTCTCCCAAGGTTGTTAAACCTATAATTAAGGTGCAGTAGGTTTAAACCCCAACTGCAACCTACATATCCATTAGCTAAAGTACTTGATGGGTCATGTATTTTGTGCATAATGCATTACATGAACGTGCACATAGAAAGAAAACCCACGTCAGAAAAGTGGGATCTACCAATAGTTTTTATTATAATGAGCAAGGTGCAGGTTAGGATGAAAACATGCACCTGATAAACTAATTATCTCTTCAAATAGTCAAGTTAAACAATTAATAAGGAAGCTGACACTGTGTGGATGGGCTCAAGGAGTGTTGTTCCTTTCTCCTTTATTATCTATATTCAGTATGGCTATGGTTTTCTCCTCTTTCTTGTGAATGTATGAAATTTCTTTTGGAGAAACTGGATGATGAGCAGATGGAGATATTGCTTATGCTGGCCTGGTCTCTATGGAAATCTCGGAATGGTTTCATATTCGAACATAAAGCTTGAACCCCTCCTATGGTGATTTGTATTCGAACATAAATTGGAGAATGCTTGTCCTGCTGGAGGAATTATTAGTCAGAGGCATGTTGAATTAGTACGTTGGAAATGACCAACCCTGGATGTCCTTGAAATTAATACAGATACAGCAGTTTGTTCAGGAGCTGGATTAGGAGTTATCATCAGGAATAGCAACGGAGGTTTTATGCAAACAGTCATGAATTTTGCGAGAATGGCAGGTGCTTCTGATATTGCAGAGGCCCTAGCTTCATGATATGGCCTCTTGGAGCTGGACAGCCAGTTGGTTGTTGGAGCTATTAATATGAAAAGTCAGCTTTTGAATTATCTGGGGTCTATAACAGCAGACATCAAGGACTTATCCTCCTCCCTTTTTTCATTTCTTGTAAAAGGGATCCCAATATGGGCGCGCAGCTGCCGTAGTACGTTAGCAGTAGCTCATGGTAGTGAACAAGTGTTGAATGAGGAGTATCCTCCTGATATTTCTACTATTGTATGCACTGATCTTGAGTTTTCTTATCCATAAAAGCTTAAGTTTGATTCTCAAAGAAGAAAAAGGATGCTGACACTGAAGGAAGCTATCATAGAGAAACTGGAATTGGCCACCAGGGATTTAGACACGAGAACAAGAATGTTGGCACTCTGTTAGCAGGTCCATCAACTTCAATCAACTCTGTGCTACTTCAACAAACCAATGGCTAAAAATCAAAGACAATTCACCTTACCTCAACGCACCCAAGTCGAATGAGTTTAGTGGTATCAAAAGCGCATGCATTGATTGGATAAAACTCAAAGCAACTTAACTATACAAATATCAACTAAAAATTTTATTTTAAGGAAAAAAGAAAGAAAGAGGCAAGGCAAAAAGGAAAGCAAATTGGTAGATCTTAGCATGTATAGATGTCGTTGAGCCAATGCAGAATTTACTTTGACGATAAAAGGAGAAAAAAAAACGAGCTGGGCAAGAATGAAGATCGTAGAAGAAACTAGACTAGAAGATGAGGGAGTGTTACATACCAGGCTTGCCCTTGTCTTTGAAAGGCATCAATTTTGGATCCCAGTTTCATGCAAGCCATTGCTTCAGAAGGGAAGCAAACAAATCTTCCAAAAACGCAATCTCCCAATGCAGGTTAGCTTATTCAAGACTTAAATCCTATTATATATCACTCTGAAAGCTCTACAACACCTCCAACCAACACCCCCCCCCCAAAAAAAAAAAAAAAAGAAGGAAAAAAAAAAAGGAGAGAGAGAGAGAGTGTGTGTTCTTTCAGCGCAGTGACAGAAACCCACCCAGCAGGCAATAGGAGACCACTCTCAAACCGAAGCCCCCATTAAAAAAAAAAAAAAAAATCCCTCTTGAATTCCTTCAGCCAGACCGCAAATGCAGCTACTTGTCTGAAATGGCAGCCAAATCTACAGGAACATCGAGCAAACTAACATTGAATAGAATGTCTTACCCAGACGCTGAACCCATCAAAAAACTCCAATAACATATACCTGCCACCAAACAAAACACAAATCTTAAATCCTAAATCCCAATCCAAACCCACGCAGTTTCCCTTAATCAGACACTATAATATCTTTAGGTCAGAAAAGAGAAACAGACAGCAGTTTTAGGTCAACCCTTCCATTTTGCTGTGTTAACGAAACGAAAATACTGTTTATTAGACAATATTTTGGAAATGCGGCACAGCTTGTTTTTTTTTAGAGTTTTTCTGTTTAAAAACATATTATTTACTTTTTAAAATTTATTTTTAATGCCACTAAACTAATCCAAGGATTTTAAATAAAATTTAATTGAAAACTAAAAAAAACACATACTGCCATGCCAATCAAGTTCCTCGTTTATACAGCAGCAAATAATAACAAGAGATTCCAACGAACAAAAACAAGCACTAATGAGCCGGTGGGTGCGCTGATGAGCCCTCATTAATTAATCTAGTCTATTCAAAGTCATCATCGTATATCCATAATTAAATAAACAACTTGAAGAAATTATCCCGATGCTAATGGCACCAATACATGTTCTCCTCGACCTGTGGACCATTTAGCTTAAAACACACTCATTGCACTTCTAGAACTGACTGGTTACATGTCTGTTTAGCATTATAATATGATTTGAAGAAGAATTATAAACTATAACTTTCAATGATAGAATTCATATAAAACTGGGGTGCCTGTCCTAAGAACTATAATTAAAACAAAACAAGAATTCAACCATGTTTTATTATACTCCTTAACAGTAAGGATCAGAATATTTATTTCTATGAAATAGAAAAGAGTGTGGTAGTGTTTATTAAATATTCTTTAATAGGTGTTCCGAACCAGACATCATCATCATTAGCACAGGGAGACTGCCGACTACATCAACTTATTGCAAGTTGACCATATTGGTTCGGGTGGGCGATTTTATGGTTAATTTAACGACAACGGATATTTGAGGTTACAGCTATCTGCTTCGTCCAGCCAGGCCATGTGCATGCGTTTCTTCTTTCCATGCAATAATTAAAAAAAGAAACGAAGAAGAAGAAGCAATGCTAGTGCTCAATCAACACATTAAATGAATGAACAATGTCCCTCGCAAATACACGAATCATTTGCATGCGTGTGATTGTCAGTGGAGACAGATTCATGCCTTGTGCATGTAGTTTACTTAATAAAATAATAAAGAAATACACAAAAAATAATTGAATAAAAAAAAAAACTAAGTAGAGATATATGATAAAATAAACTTAGAAATCTAATCCCAAATAGTGGTAGGTAACAACTTCACAAATCAAATAGTTTATGCAATTCTATATTTAGTTTAATAGGTTTCTCAACAAATATAAATGTGGAAAAAATAATTATTTTTAATTTTTTTAAGAGTTCCAAATATCCCATTAGAAACATTAGAAATTTCAGAGATGTTTAAAATTTGTATAAAGATTACTTGAAAGTTTTTGTAAAGAACAAGTACTTAAATACATATAATCATTACAAATGACATTGTTTGATATAATTAGATGAAGAGTGATCGTAAAATCATACCTATTTAGCCACTTAAACAAGGTTATAATATATTATTTAATAGCTAATTTAAAGTTTGGTAAAAAGTGGTTGTAACTCGATTTTAACCTTTTATTTTGATTAAGTTTTCAATATAAAAATTATGGAGAAATACATTTTCAACATAAGTTGTCCAATTTTAGGTTGTTTTATAATTTTAACCTTTTAAGTTATCATATGCATGCATATTAATGAATTTTATAAAAAAAGAAAAGAAAAGAAAATGAAAGCAAATAAAAGGTTTAGTGAGCATAAAAACAATTAAAAAGAGGATGTGTGACTGTGACTGACATGAACATTGCAAACCCCTTTTTCAAGAAACATGAAATGATAGAATAAGAGAGAATAAAGAATAAAAAGGGAATATCATGTATGAATTTTAGATAGTATAAAATGATAAAGAAAGAGAGAGGGGGGATATTAAAACAAATCCTAACATATATAGAGAGAGGGGGAGAGCCAGAGAAGTGTGCAAAAGAAAGGAAAAAAAAAAGAGAGAAAAGAGAAAAAATCTTTTAGTAATGTGCAAAAGAAAGGAAAAAAAATAGAGAGAAAAGAGAAAAAATCTTTTAGTAAAAGAGAGAAAAAGATAAATTTTTAGTGAAGAACCAAATGTAGTGAGAAAAATGAAAAAGATATACAAAGAAAAAGACAAAAAAAGAACAATAAAAGAAAAGGAAAGGAAAGACAAAGAAAACCTTCATCTTCCTCCCTCCTCTTACTAGAAAAAAAAAAGCATTGAAAAGATCATACCTATTTGGCCATTTATATGAGGTTATAATGCTTTATTCAATAACTAATTTAAAGTTTGATAAGAAATATCATAATTTGATTTTGACCCCATTTCAATTAAGTTTTGAAAAAATATAAAAATTCTTTAGAAATGCATTTTCAACATAATTTGTCTAATTTTAGGTTATTTTATAATTTTTAACCTTTAACTTATCATATGTATATCATATGCATGTTGATGAATTTTTCAAAGAAAAAAAAAAAGAAAAGCAAATAAAAAGTTTAGTGCGTATAAAAACAATTAAATAGGGTATATATGACTAATATAAATATTGCAAATCCTTTCTCTAAGAAACTTAAAATGATAGGATGAGAGAGAATAAAAAATAAAAAAGGAATATTGGATATGAATTTTTGGTAGTATAAAATGATAAAGAAAGAAAGAGAGAGGGGATGAAAATTAAAAAAGCACACGCATGGGCACGCCTGCGTGCATATAGAGAGGAAGAAGTGCAAGGAAAGAAAAAAAAGAAAAAAATATTTTAGTAAAAGAGAGAGAAAAAAAAGAAATTTTTAGGGAAGAATGATGATTAGTACTTAAAAATGTATTTTTTTTCAAGGTTTTATATCATTATTTTGCACTTGAAGTATCAATAACTCTTTAACTAAAGCATGTTTTATACTAACATATCTAATAATATAAGATGCCTTTAATTTATGGTAAATGTTTATTTTAAATGCAAACCTATCACATAAATAAAAGGATTGATTGATGAGTTTAAGAACTTAAATTGAAAGGATAAAGAGATGGCCAAATTTAGAAAAGAAATGTCAGTGCAGTCCAAACCGGAATACTGTTCGGTAATTTGATCATATTTGAAGCTATAGATCTCAAATTTAGGTCTATTTTATATAGATAAAAAGATAAGACATAGGCTTACAACTTTCATATGGAGCCCAAGATTTAATAAGGTCATTTTCAAGTCCAAATTATAGCAACAATGAAGAAATCTGAATCTATCCTACAGCCCTACCACTGTTCATTGTTTGTTCCATATCTAGAGTTCTAGAAGTCCAATGATCTCTATTTTTTTTCTTGAAAAGCTGAGATAAATTTCTACAACTTTAATGTTTTCAAATAGTTCAAATTCTAACATTATCAATGACGCATCTCAGGCTTTAAAATAATCTTCCCTTTGATCCTGTTGCGCCACGTCATCAGGTGTACCAAACACTCGGT